CAACGAACAATTAAAAGGTATATCAAAAATCTAATAATAAATAATGAAATTCTATTGAGTTTTCTTTTGTTTAGCAGAACATCATAAAGCAGCTATGCGTTATAAGATGGCTCATCATCATCAACCATCTTCTATGCCTAGTCATTCTCCACCAGATCCATCCTATCCTACTCATGCAACAAAACGACATTCACATGATTTAGGTTATCCTACAGATGATTATCCAGCATCGATTTGGCGTACACAAAATATGAGTAATCCTCAACAAATGCATCCACATATGCAACATAATCCTGGAGCAAATGAAAATCCATTAATAAAACTTAATGAGTTGTCTCGACATTCATCAACCCGTGCAACGGAAAGAAATAGTCGGTAAGAATAGGTTATAGTCATTCTATTCTTCATTTTATCGTCTATATTTGTGATGAGAAAGAAAAGCACATTGTGTACTTTCTAAAAGGTCATTTTGACCTCATATCTGTGTCATAACTAAAAAGAGATTTTATTTGTTGATTGAAATAATTTAACCTTGATTTTAATTAGATCTCCAGATGATTATCATCATCGTGTAAATCCATCACGAAATACTGTCGAAAGTCCATCAATTCATTTTCAACGTGTTGAAGCACATAATCATCATGTATGTTTAGAATTATAGATTATAAAACTTTAATATTTAGTTTCTTTTCTTTACTTATTATTATTAGAAATCATCTCCGGATAAATTAAATCCAAATTTACATTATACTGATCATTCATCGGATGGAAATCCAATGAATTATATGAGACAACCACCAAATGTTCATAAACCTCACACAAGTCATCATTCACCTCATCGTCATCATCATCATCAACAACAACAACAACATCATCAACATCATCCTCATCATAGTACACCTTCCTCGAATCGAGCATTAGTTCCACCATTACAAAATTCACAAATTTCACCTCATCATGCTGCTTATTTAATGCATAATCATCATCATCCACCTATGGATACTGTATCACCCCAACGGCAACAGCAACAATCACCTCATCAACATCATCCATCACATTATCCACAGCAACAACAACAACAGCAACAGCCGCAGCAGCAGCAGCAGCAGCAGCAGCAACAACCACAACAAAGAACATCACATCATAATGAACCAATAAAAAATGCCAAAGAATCTATGTCTATTCAAGAATTTATGAACAAAAATGTGAATGAGTTTGTCAGCTCAACAAGTAAGATTAATAGGATATAAAATATGCGTTCTTTTTATTTTTTTTCCATTTCTTCTATTCTGAAGTTGTCATGACCTATTTAATAGAAAAATATAAAAATAGCTACTTTTGATTAAACAACTATTTGTTTTTTTTTAGTATAGAGATAGTTTATTTGATTACAAAACAAAACAAAACATGCGTACTTTTAACTTATTAAATCATTTCTTTTTATACTAATAAATAAAGTTATATTTGCTTAGAGTATCCTTAGGGGGTTTAATATAATATTTTATAGTCTCTACTGCTCTGTTTCTTTCTTTCTTTCTTTTCTTCGATAAAATATAAATAATCGGTCGACATTCATTTGCATTTTATCATATCGTGTCTCATTACTTTTATTTCTATTGTATTCCTTAACGATTATTTTTATACTATGCTGTGCATATAATTATAATGTCATAAACACATTTATATTTAGACAAACGCTAAATATTTTAATTTGTTAGACTTTTAGTTATGGTCATGATGTCTTCTTTATGACTGTCAGCGTTCAGAATTTTTCTTTTTTAATTTCCTTTAATTTATCATTAAAATTAATAACAAAAAGTGACTATATCATGTCGAGTCATAGTATTCTATAATAAGAGATTGCTGTGTAGATATTTCTTTTCTATTGACAAGTCACATAACCCTTTACGATAGAGAAAAGGAAGTTATAAGTCATAATGACCTTGTTTTTATTACCTTATATAAGTCACTTACTTTTTCTCATTAAGAAACAGAAAAAAAAAACCTTTTCTTTTTAAATATATTTAGATAATGATAATAAAATTGCTAACACAGACTCATCATTACATGAACAACCTTCTAATAATCAATTAACACGTACTGCACAAACAAATGTAAATAGAATTTTTGTATTTTTGTATTTTTATAAATAAAATTTTGGAAATTTTTAGAATTCTGATCAACCAATTTTACTTGATGGTGATGATGATTCGAATCCAAATGAACAATCAGATTTAATGAATAAATCAAATACAGAAAGTGAAATGCCAGAAAAACGTCGTGATAGTTCAATAAAAAAGATTCTCTCTAATCAACCATTAGAAAAAGCGGAATATATAGGTAAGAATTATAATAAAAACAATACCTATCAATTAGATAATTTTCTTTTTATTAGAAATTAATCAAAAAGTCCAAAACAGCGCTGCTGGAACATCGAAAGGACATTCAAATAATAATGAACAAGCTGCTCTTGAAAGATCGAATAGTACAAATACACGTAAATCTATTTTGCTAGAAAAAAATACAGATGTAAAATATTTCATTGATTTCAGGTACAAGGTCACGTGGTTCAATTACAATGCGTATGTTAATGGGTTCAAGTGATATTTATGCTGATGGTAAAGCTCAACCAATGGCAACAAATGGTTAGAATAGATATTTATTTTAAAAATACTAAATTTATTTTGTATTTAAATTAGATGAACAATCAAATAAACGTCCAGCATCTCCAAATGAGAAATGTGAAAAAATTGAATATTTAATTCGTGGTGAACTTGATCGAAAATGTCCACCATTAGTTAAACCTGATGGTAAATATATATATACAAATCATCGAAATATGAAATTCGATAGGATTATTGAAACAATACAATGATTAGTCTTGCATTGTAGATGTTTTTCAGTTGCTTAGTGATAACCTTTCTACAGGAGACTAGAGTAAGGACTTAGAATAAAAATTTATACTTATACAAAAACAAATTGACATATAAAACAGAAGACTATTCAGAAAGAACAGGTACATACAGTCCAATCTAAGCTTCACAAAAGCAGCTATAGAAAATATGTGCAACGTGACCTGATTAAACTACTTCAATAATTACCTGTAGTCGCGAACGTTTAAAATTTACACTAAAGAAAGAGAAACAAATAATTCTGATGCATATGGAGTTAAAATATTTATAGAAAATGGTAGTATAAATAATAGAACAATGAATATATAATTACCAGAAGGAGAAAATAAGTTTATTAAGAATTATAAATAGCTTGACTTAAGAAAAGAAGCAGTTAACCATATGATTCTTCTTTTGTAGAACCAGCAAATATATTTCAAAAATCATCACCAAATCAATCTCAACCAAATTCATCCAAACGTTTACGGTATAGAATAAAATTCAATATTTATATTTATAAATAATTTCTCATTTTATTTATAGCACATCACCAAATGATGAAGAACAACATTATCCATCTTTTCCTACACCACAGGACTCAACAACAACAACACCAAATGTACGTGATCCGTTTGCTTTACAACCGCAATCAAAAGCTCCACATCATCAATCAGCAGCATCAACAAATGCAGAGAAAAATTGGCAGTCATATGTTCAACAACAACAATATCATCTAACAAACTCACATTCATTACCACTTGCATCACGAACATCACGTCCAACAGGTTCAATCACACAAGGTAGTCCTATATCACCATCATTACGTTTAACACCTGATCAACAACAATATTCATCAGCAACAAATAATCAACTTGTTAATCCACGTTATAATATTAATAAAAGTAATTAGTTTTTATTTTACATATATAGTATTTTATTTGATTTTTTTTCTTAATAAAGAAGATGAACAGCAATCTTCACCATCGAGACAGTCATCAACATCACCACATGATCATTCACCTAAAGCTAAAATTCCTCGTACATTAAATCAGGTAATATTTTAAGAGTGATAATATCTTTTGTTGAGCAAAACATTCAAATTCACATTAGCGAATTTAATAATTTAGTATATACATATAGAAAGATACAGAACTAGATATAATCTCGAATTTGTAACTACCTAACCGAAAGTCATACTGTAGGATTTTTAAAAAGACTCAAACGTTACATGAAAAAGGTGTTCGTGCACCCGCCTTGGCCAAAACATATCTGAAGGGAGTTACCGGTAAAGAACCTAGCCACAAGACAAAAAACGCGGGTGTGCCCTCTTCTCATTCAAAATTCTTGGGTACGCCTCTGGTTATAATTATCATTTAGAACGTATTTTTTAGTAGACAGAACTAATAATTCATTAAATATTTAATTTAGTTTGATATAAAATTATCTATTATAAGTATTGTATTTCAATTTAGAGTCTTTCCTCATCATCTGATACTCAAAATGAATCATCATTATCAATAAGTGGTGATCAATTATCAAGTATAAAAAGTCCTGTTAATAATTCAGTACCAACTAATTCTAATCCAAGTAATACTCCACCAATGGCTTCATCACCAACAGCATCAAATTCATCCAGTAGTGCACATCCATTAAAAAAACGTTTAATTAGTGAATATGAACTTGAACAACAACGAAACTCACCTGTTGTAACTACAGAAGAAATATCAAATACTTCAGAATTGGATATTCCAAAAGATGATAAAGAAGATGTTTCTACTGCTACAAT